TGGAAGAATGTAATCGATGTCACTGAGTTGTACATGCAGAATCTTTTGAAATGGTGTAACTTTGGCTATGTATATTTTCACCAAAAAAAAAAAAAAGGTCCTCCAAGGTCGAGAAGGGAAAGGGTTGACTTGTTGTGGGGTTGTTAACCAATGCCATAAGACAACATGTGTACTGACTGTTTAATGAGAAACTATTTGTTCTGTAAACCTTCATCTAAAGTAAAATTTAAAACAAATTTATTTTAAAAACACAAAGTGGCCAGTACCAGTCCTTTTCAGCTCATTAATGCCTACAATATCGATGTTTACATGTTCCATTTCATTTTTGACTATTTCCAATTTTCCTAGATTCATACATCATACATTCCATGTTCCAATTATTAAAGGATGTTTGCAGCTGTTTCTTATCATTTTGAGTCATGCCACATCAGAAAATGAAGGTCCCAAAAGCTTGACTCCATCCGTGTTACTAAGGTCAACACTACTTTGAGGAGGCAGCTCTTCCCAGTCATATTCTGAGTGCCTTCCAACCTGAAGGGCTCATCTTCCAGCACTATATCAGACAATGTTCCGCTGCTATTCATAAGGTTTTCACTGGCTAATTCTTTTCAGAAGTAGACTGCCAGGCCCTTCTTCCTAGTCTGTCTTAGTCTGGAAGCTCAGCTGAAACCTGTCTGCCATGGGTGACCCTGCGGATATTTGAATACCCCCTGGTGGCATAGCTCCCAGCATCACTGCAACACGCAAGCTCCCACAGCATGACAAACTGACAGACGAGCGGGTGTTATTAGTTATATGATTTTCAACTATTTTCTCCCAGTCTGGAAGTTGTATGTTGACTTTTTTGATGGCATACTTTGAAGCATAATCTTTTTTAATTTTCAGGAACTCCAATGTATCTATTTTTTCTTTTATTAATAGTGCTTTTGGTTTCATATCTAGGAAACCATTGCCTAATCCAAGGTTATGAAGATTTACGCCTATATTTTCTTCTAAGAGTTTTACAGTTTTAGTTCTTACAGTTAGATCTTTGTTCCATTTTGAGATAATTTTGTAAAGATCCTACTTGATTCTTTTCCATGTGGATATCCAGTTTTCCCATAATCATTCATTGAAAAGACTGTTCTTTCCCCCACTGAATTGTCTTGACACTCTTGTTGAAATACAAGTGACTGTAAATCTGAGGGTTAAGTTATGGACTCTCAATCCTATTTCACTGATATATATGTTTGCCCTTATGCCACTATTATGCTGTCTTGCTTACTGTAACTTTGTTGTAAGTTTTGTAATCAGAAAGTGTGAGTCCTCAAACTTTGTTCTTCTTTCTCAAGGGTTTTTTTTCACCCTTTTGTGTCCTTTGAATTTCTATGTGAATTTTAAGATTGAATTGTCAATTTCTGCAAAGAAGCCAGCTGGGATTTTAATGGAGATTGCATTGAATATGTACATCAATTTGGGGAGTATTGTCACCATGATAATATTCAGTCTTCTGATCCAAGAGCATTGGATATCTTATCTTTTATTTAAGTCTTTCTTAATTTCCATCTACCGACATTGTACTTAAAGTTTTTGTGGTATAAGTTTTGCACTGCTTTTGTGAAATTTATTCCTGTTTTATTCTTTCATGATACTAGTGTAAATAGAATTGTTTTCTTAATATCATTTCAAGATTGTTTATTCCAAGTGTATAGAAATACAATAGACTTTTAATATATTGGTATTTTATCCTGCAAAATTGTCGAACTTGTTTATTTTCTTTTTAGTGGATTCCTTAAGATTTTCTACATACAAGATCATGTCATCTGCAAATGGAAATAATATTACTCTTCCTTTCCAATATGAATGCTCTTTATTTCATTGTGTTGCCTAATTGCTTTGGCTAGAACCTCCAGTACAATGTTGGATAGACATGGTGAGAGAAGACATTTTTGTCTTGTTCCTGAACTTAGAAAGAAAGCATTTAATCATTCACTATTAAGTCTGATGGTATATGTGGGTTTTCCATAGATGCCCTTTATGATGGTGAGGGAGATCTCCTCTATTCTGGGTTTGTTGAGTATTTTAATCATGAATTGGTGCTGGATTATGTCAAATGCTTTTTCTATGTCTATTTAGATGATCATGTGATTTTTTTTTATTCTAATGATATGATGTATCACATTAATTGGTTTTTGGATGTTAAACTACATTTACATTCCTGAGATAAATACCACTTAGTCATAGTGTATAATTATTTTTATATATTGAAGAATTTGGTTTGCTAGCATTTTGTTGAAGATTTTCTTTTCTTGTGATGTCTTTCTCTGGTTTTTATACCAAAATAATACTGGCCTAATAGAATGAGTTGAGAAGCATTACCTCCTCTTCTATTTTTTGGGCTAGTTTGTGAAGAATTGGTATTAATTATTTTAACGTTTGATAGTATTCACTAGTGAAGTCCTTCGAGCCTGGGCTATTACTTATGGAAAGTTTCTTTTTCTTTTTTTTAAATTGCTAATTCAATTTCTTTACTTGTTATAGTTCTACTCAGATTTTCTATTTTCTCTTGAGTATGATTCAGTAGTTTAGGTCTTTGTAGGAATTTGTTTATTCTAGGCTATCTAATTTGTTGACATACAATTGTTCATAGTGGTGTTGTTGTTGTTAGGTGCCATCAAGTCAGTTCTGACTCATAGCGACCCTATGCACAACAGAACTAAACACCACCCTGTCCTATGCCATTCTCACAATCATTGCTATGCTTGAGTCCATTCTTGCAGCCACTGTGTCAATCCATCTTGTTGAGGGCCTTCCTTTCTTTCGCTGACCCTCTACTTTACCAAAGCATGATGTTCTTCTCCAGGGACTGGTCCTTCCTGACAACATTTCCAAGTCTCACCATCTTCACTTCTGAGGAGCATTCTGGCTGTACTTCTTCCAAGACAGATCTGTGCATACTTCTGGCAGTCCATGGTATATTCAACATTCTTCGCCAACACCATAATTCAAAGGTATTCTTTTTCGGTCTTCCTTAACTTTGTCCAGCTTTCATATGCATATGAAAATACCATGCTTGGGTCAGGCGCATCTTCATCCTCAAAGTGACATCTTTGCTTTTTACCACTTTTTTTTTTTTCCTGCCCAAAGCTTTATTGAGAAAAGTAGCTCGTGAGTGGAGACAAAGAGGAACAATGCAACGCTAGCCTTTGTCTCCCTGAATAAAGGGTTTAAAAGACTTATGAAAGTTTCTAGGCGGGAAATGGTTTCATCATTATTCACGAAAGTGGTGTGGGTTTCTGGGAAAAGGGTGTGTCAGGTGCGCGCGCAAGAGGTAATTCAAGTTGGAACCCGTAACAAAGGCTCCTGGGACTGGATAGCAGGACTTAGTATGCGGTGACGCGCCTGCGCATTTCCCCCATAGTGCCGGCTCATTTCCTGTTGCGGGTCACCTTGCGGATGTCTGTGCATGCTCCAGGGACAAGATCGGGCTGGTTTTTCTGAAAAACATTAAGGAAGTACAATGAGAGCTGGGTGGGTTGTTCTTTCTTTATTGCATGTTCCAAGATAATGGGTTTTGTGTCATTAGTTAAGCACATGTTTTTAGTTTAAGGTCCTTTGCCTAGGGGCTCAGTCCCTTTTTCCCTTCCCTATCTCATTCCCCCTTGAGAGGTTTCATACTCATAATTCTTTATGAGGGTGTAGGGGCAGAGGTCTCTTCTGTAACTTCTACCAGCTGACACTGGGTTGTTGGCCTGCCTAGCAGAGTAGAAGTCTCTCCCTAGCTCGTCCAAAGTTTTGTTGGGGCTATTGGACTCAGGCCGGGGAATGGGCTGGAACTCTTTACATCATCAGTTTGACTTGGAACTAAGTGCTGCAGTCGAGAAGACATAAATTTAACCAGTACGTTGAGCAAGCAGGGACCAAATAAAAATGGTAGAAGGATAGTTATTGCGGGTCCTAAAGGGGGAAGGAACCAGGTTATGGAAGGTAAATATCCTTTGATTTGATTCCAAATATTGTTACCCATTTGTGTATGGGCTGTCCTTAGCCACTCAGCTTGTTTAAGGATCTTCTGATCCCGGAATTCCACTTCCCCAGTAACATTAATGTACATGCAGCAGGAAGTGTCTGCGACTGTGCAGGTACCTCTCTGTTCAGCCAGGAGATAGTCCAATGGGATTCAGTGGCCCATGACTACATTGGCCAACGAGTTGGGGGATCTCTGTAAGGCTGATAGACTTTGTCCTGAATCGGTACTGACTACTTGGACAACACTGGATAGATTTTGGACTTGAGCATTGGTGTAAACCGCACCCACCATTAATCCAGCAAGTGCTCCCATCAAGGCCGTGATCCCTAAAGCTATGAGGTTAATGGGTTCTCTTTTCCTTCACCTGAGGGCTCCCTAGGAAGCTGGGTTATTGCTCCCCCGAAAGACTGAAACTGTATTGTTACTGAGGATTACAAGCCCAACAAAACAACTGGTGCCGACCAAGCTTAAATCAAGGCACCCTAATCCCCAAGTTCTGTTGGCTTGGTCTAAGCATGTGAACCAATATACTTTGAGGCACACTGGGTTTCCCAGGCATCCTTTAGTAATAGGCATAGAGGTATTTGTGCTTAACAACCATCCCATGAAATCGGATTGGTTTTGGGTTGCCCTAAAAATGGTCGGACCTTTACTAAGGGGTCCTCACACCCCAGGATGTGTGAAGCTTCCTTCCAACCGAACATCTATAGCAGTGCTATGATTTTTTGTCACAGCGGTGACAGTTGTCTGGACGGCAGAGACAGTAACCAAACACAACTCTTACAGAGAAGTGGGGCCAGGAGGGTCACTCTGAGGAGTCGACCCCGGCTTCAGTCCCAGGAGTTTTTTTATAGTCAATACAGCAAGCAGTGAAGCAAATAACAGAACAATGGGCTTTGGGTGAGTAACAGTAAGTTTTGGGCAAGGGAGAAGGAATTCAGGTAAACAAGCCAATCAGTAACAGGGCAATAGGTTTGGGAAAACAAGTCGTGCCTAATCTCATTCTTATCGCTGACAAGTCTCCAACATGTCATATACAGCATAGAGGCCTGTGGGGGCTGCAGTTGTCAATAGTGCAGCCATTTTTATATGGCATATATCCCTACAATTTTTGGAGGGAGTTTCAAGGGGGTTTGACCTAGAAAGATCTATGCCATTAAAATGATAATAGGTACCTGTAGAGTCTAGTAGTTGAAAACCTTTTGACAAAACCTGAGCATCAAGCAAAATTTCCCTCATTGGTGACGAAGGGACATGGAGTGGAAACATGTGGGTCTGGAAGATAGGACCTCTTTGCTAGCTTCTGCTCCACAGTCCAGGTCTCGAGGTCTACTGGATTTGTAGCTTCAGAAATCCTTGATGACGTCACCATTAATTTTTCAGATAGGCTAGAAACTGTGATCCTACATTTTGAATTGTCTTTCTTAACGATCATAGGTACAGGTTTCAGCAACCACAGTCAGCGGGGTCTTCACTGGTGCTTTTTACCACTTTAAAGATCTCATAGTATCCGCTTATAATCCTTTTTATTTCTGAGGTAATGTCCCTTTTTTCGTTCCAGATTTTAGTAATCTGAATTTTCTTTTTCCCTTCATGAGTCTGCCTGAAGTTTTGTCAATTTTTTTTAATCTTTTCAAAAAACCAATTTTTGTTTTTTGTTGTTATTTTCTATACGATTTTCCTATGCTCTATTTCATGAATTTCCACTCTAATTTTTATGATTTCCTTCCTTCTGTTTGCTTTAGGTTTAGTTTGCTCTCTTTTTTTCCCAGTGTCTTAAAGTAGTGATTAGGTTATGAATTTGACATCTTTCTTATCTTTTAATGTAGGCATTTACATCTATAAATTTTCCTGTAAGCACTACTTTAATAGCATCCCATAAGTTTTGGTATGTTGTGTCTTCATTTTCATTTATGTCACAGTATTTTCTAATTTTTGTTTTGATTTCTTCTTTGACTCATTGGTTATTTAAGAGTGTGTTAATTTCCACATACATGTAAATTTCCAAAGTTTCTGTTATTTATAATTACATCACGTCATGGTTGAAGAACATAATTTGTATTATTTCTATAATTTTAAATTTATTAGACATGTTTTATGGCTTAGCATATGTTCTGTTCTGGAGAATGTTCCATGTGCACTTGAGAAGAGTGTATATTCTGCTGTTATTGGGTGGAGTGTTCCACAGATGTCCCTTAGTTCTAGTTGGTTTATAGGGTTGTTCAAGTCTTCTAACCTTGATCAAGAATAAGACTTTGATCTTCTGTCCAGTTGTTCTAGCCATTGAAAATGGAATATTGAAGTCTTCCACTATTATTTTTGTATTGTCAATTTTTTCCTTCATTTTTATGTTTTTGCTTTATTCTATTTTGGTATTCTATTATTAGGTGCATATACATTTATAATTCTTAAATCTTTCTGGTGAATTGACTTTTATCATTATAAAATGTCTCTAACTCTAGTAAGATTTTTTATTTTAGAGTCCATTTTGTCTGATGTTAGTGTAGCCACTAGGACCTTCTTGTGGTTGCTGTTTCCATAATACACTGTTTTCCATTCTTTTACTTTCAATCTATTTGTACCTTTGAATATAAAGTGTGTCTGCTGTAGACAGCATATAGTTGGAATTCATTTTGTGTGTGTGTCTGCATGTAGTCAGACTATCTTGCTTTTTGATTGCATTGTTTAATGTATATGAATGGTTGCTATGAGCTGTAATCAACTTGAGGGCCACGTTTTTGTTTTTGTTGTTGTTATTCTTGATAATCTCACTTGTATGTCTTTCTCAGATTCTGAAACTGAGATAGCCTGTGATGCCTCCTCCTCAAAAAGTCTCCTTCCAGAGTCTTCCACATCTCTGTGGCCATCAGAACCATCTTTTAGTGTCCTCCTTGACTCCTCTCTTTCTCTCATATCCCAAATGTAATCCATTAGGAAGTCCTTAAAGTTCAACTTCAACATGGATCAAGAATCTCATCATGTTCCACTATTTTCACTGCTCACACCTGGGTTGAAGCCATCACTATCTGTAGCTGGAATACTACCCAAATTCCTCAGTTTTCCCTATTGCCTTGCTCGCCCCCTCAACTCTATTCTCAGCCCAGCAGCCAGAGTGATTCTTTTAAAAGAGAAGTTGTACCATTTCTCTCTTTTGCTCAAAGCTGTCTTGTAACTCATCTCACCCAAAGAAAAGCCAAAAAGTCCTCCAGTATTATCAAGACCGACATGGTCTGGTCGTATCTCTGACTTCATCTCAATGATTCTGTTGCAGCCACAGTGGCCTCCTCGCTGCGCCCAGAACAGAGATACCCTCCTGTCCTAGTGTGTCTGCACTGGATGTTCCCCCAGCATGGAAAGAACTTCCCCAGACATCCTCAAGGCTAATTCCATCATGTCCTTCAAATTTTCCCGCAAAGGTCATTTTCTCAATGAGGCCCATGCTGATCACCCAAGTATAGCAGCCATCTTCCCTCTCCCCACACACCCACACTCTGGGTCCCCTTCCCCACTGCACTTACTGCCTTCTAATGTAAACATTTTCCTTATTTCTAAGCTTATAGTCAATAGTTTGTCTCTTTCCACTAGAACACATGCTCCACAAGTCTGACAATTTTTGTGTTTTTAGTTCACTTATGTTTCCCAGACGCAAAAATAGTGTGTCATGTAGCCAGCACTCAGCAAATATCAGTAGAATGAATGATCCTGTAGGGTACAGCATCTCCCTATTCTAAAGACAGTGTCTTTGTCAATGTAGCCTCAGACCAAATGCTGTTTTGTGGCAGCTACCATACAACATCCACTCACATTGACATTAATGCCACCTGGACTTCTCTCACAAGTGCTGCTCTCCTTCCTCACTTCCTGGTCCACCCCTCTGCTCACTACAGCACACAAGTTCATTTCCGTCTTCAGAAAGGAACAAATCCTGGGCTTATGGGCCATATTTTCCAATCAACTGTGAATAAAAATGAGAGTCTGCTTTAGATAGCTATCGGTTTGGAAGGAGCCAGTACTAAGATTATAGAGCTAAGGGCAGGAAGAGAGGGTAGGTGAGTGGAGGATGGAAACAAAACAGGAATTCATCTAAGATAAGAAACTATCAGATCCCTCCTCTCTGCTAATCCCAAAATCTGGTTCTTTAAAAAAAGTTAGGGGAAAAGGAAAGAATAATCCAGGGACAGTCCTAGAAGGAGGGAAAGAGCTGGACTAGTCTGAAAATTCGTGTCTTGATACCACAGAGACTGCTGTGTGCAGGGGCTGCCCTGGGCCTTGTGGGGATAGTGACAGGAAAACGACTCCCAGTGCTATCAGAGATGGGGATACCCAGAGGAGGATGGGACCAAGAACAAGAACTCGTGCACAAGATCAAGAACAGGCATAATCCTCTACAACAACCAAGACACAAAAATAACCACACAATGATGATGGCTAAGGGCCAGTCCAGGCCTGAGCCCAGGCTGAATAGCTGTACAAAGTCCTCTCTGTCCAGTGTCCCAGGTGATGTCTGAGTCACTGTGATCACAGGTCCTGGTGGGACAAGGACAACAGAGCAGTGAAGAGGACCCAGCCAAGAAGTAACCATGTCAAAGCCCATGAAGTACTGAGCACCAGCTGGGCACAGGCCCCATCCATGCTCAGCTACTCCATGGCCTTCTCCTGTCCTGCCTGCGACAGACTCAACACAGCAAACACAGGATTCTGGAAGGTTATCAAGTCTTCATTTATTGCCTCTTAAATTTTCAGAATTTTTCTCTCCTTTAATTAACCCATCAACCACACTTTATGGCAAGATTTTGAAAAAATAGCCAGATTCTCATTTCCAACAGGGAAGTGAGACATTGCCGATCACAGCAACAGGAAGTTACAACAGGGATGGAGATTTCCCAGCCCTGCCTCTACTGGAACAGGAACATGGATCAGGCAAGGGACATAGTTCAGTGTGGGGAGGGGGTCCTCGTAGGTGGGGTGGGGCTAGTCTCCCCACGTCCTCATATTATGCAGACAGGAATGCAGACACATTCAGACACCAGCTGCAGAAAAAGAAGTCAAGCTTTCTTGAAGTCACAAAGCGGGGTGGGTGGTGGTGAATAAACCTTATATCACTCAGTGCCACACAAGGCAGCAGTCTCACGCTATAGAAGAAAGTAATCGCGAACAGATTTGGGTCAGTCACTGTTAAGCGTTGATATACTGAATAGCCCACCACATGCTCAAAATGTCCAAATACAAAGAATCCCTATCACCAAGTCGTGTCCCCTCTGCCCCAACCCCTCCCCCATGTCAGGCCCCCAGGGTCTCACCTTTAGAAGCCATAAAAGACACATCAGAGCCCAGGGAACTGTCGCTGCCTGGAGAAGAACAAACATATCTGGTCAGAGCCCACAGAAGGAGGTGAGACTATAGGAGGAATTATGGGGTGGGGGGAAACCTTAGTGGTGTAGTGGTTAAGAGCTACGGCTACTAACCAAAAGGTCAGCGGTTTGAATCCACCAGGTGCTCCTTGGAAACCGTGTAGGACCGTTCTACTCTGTCCAGTAGGGTCACTATGAGTCAGAATTGACTCCACGGCAGTGGGTTTGGTCTTTTTTTTAATAGGGTGGGGGGCTGCCCCACGGGGTCCCATCTACACTACCCCAAAGGTCTCAGGGATCACATTCCTCAATACTTACTTGCAGCCTGAGCATAGTTCCCTCCTTTTCCACCTGTGGGAAGAAAATATCCTTTGAGAGACCGGGGAGGAGGCAGGACCATGAGGTCCTAGAAGAGGCAGCTAATCCTGGACCCCTGAACTGTGACTGCAGACCCAGGGCAGGCTCAGGAAACAAGAACAGAAGAGATGTGCGGGGACTAGACCCATCCCCCTCCTAGAGGTCTGTCTTCAGCAGGGACCTTACCTCAGACCTGCAACTATGGGAATCAGGTCCCCATCACCAGAATCATCAAGGTGAAAAATCTGTCCTCATGTGAGTAAGTGTTAGCACACAGGTCCCTAGGCTGGGTATGCACAGGTGTGCGGATGGTGCTTCACAGTAGAGGCAGAAGGCAGGCAGACTCCTACCTGGGACTTGAAACTCTGCAGTGGGACAAGAAAACTCAGGCCCAACCCCTATACCTGAGCTCTTCTTCCTCCAGATCACAGCTCCAACCACCACAGCTGCAATGACCACAAGGAGAACCAGGGCAGCAATGATCCCCATGATGAGGACAGTGGACTGAGAACGGGACTCTGGGAAAGGAAGGGGAAGTAAGGGGCTGTGACCCTGCTGCAGGTGCCCAGAAGGGCCCCTGCTTCCCTGAGAAGAGGCTCTGCCCTTGTCTCCCCCGCTTACTCCATCTCAGGGTGAGAGGCTTGGGCAGCCCCTCGTGCTGCACATGACACGTATATCTCTGCTCCTCTCCAGAGGGCACCACCACAGCCACCCATTTCTGGAAGGTCCCGTCCCCCGCAGGCCTGGTCTCCACAAGCTCCATGTCCTGGGTCTGGTCCTCCCCATCCCTCTGCCAGGTCAGGGTGATCTCCGCCGGGTAGAAGCCCAGGGCCCAGCACCTCAGCGTGACCTCATGTTCAGAGACGGGGTGGTGAGTCACCTGTGTCCTTGGGACATCTGAAGGAATAAGTCAGAAAATTCAGAAACTTTCCATCACCTCCCATGGGCCACTTGAGCAGTGCTCATGTGACCATCCTGAGAAAGTGGGATGGGAGAGGGAGTGCAAAACCCAGACACTAGCCTGGACTAGGGATCTGGGATAATCTCTTATTCCTTGGAAAGTTCTAGAGTCAGGGTGAGGCAGCCCAGAGTAGGAGGCTCCAGGTGTCTGAGAACAGGGATTTCTAGTTCTGACTTGGGTGGAAGTGGAGAAACTCAGAGAAGCTGGAATCAGACCTCCAAACTCATTGGGTGTGGGGCGGAGAACAAGGCTAGAGAGAAAAAGTTCCTGGTGGTTGGTTCCCAAGGTCGATTCCAGGATCAAAGAGAATTGCTGATCAATCAGGAATCATCTCCCCTACTATCCCCAGAGAGACTGGATCCTTTAACTGTATCTGAAAGGAGGGCTTCTCTGGACAAATCACTCTCTGGTATAGGATCTGGAGATCTGGGCTAAAGCGTCAGTCTCCACACCCATGGGAGGACAGGGTAGTCTAGGGTCCATTCTATTTCCCTCCCCTCCTTTTGAGAGGCCAGAAGGGAACACAGTCCCAGCTTAAAGTGAGTTGGAGGAGGCACCAAGACCCGCGGCCCCTCGTACCTGCGCGCTGCAGCATCTCCTTCCCGTTTTCCAGGTACCTACGGAGGGACTCCACACACCTGCCCTCCACGTAGGCCTTCACATTCTCGGTCACACGGTCCTCCTCCCACTTGCGCTGGGTGATCTGAGCAGCCGTGTCCGCCGCCGTCCACGTGCGCAGGTCCTCGTTCAGGGCGATGTAGTCGGCGCCATTATACGCGTGCTGATTGTACCCGCGGAGGAGGCGCCCGTCGGGCCCCACTTCACAGCCATACATCCACTGGATGGTGTGAGACCCTGGCCCCGCCCCCGCGGTCAGCCCCGCCCCCGCGGTCAGCCCCGCCCCCGCGGTCAGCCCCGCCCCCGCGGTCAGCCCCGCCCCCGCGGTCAGCCCCGCCCCCGCGGTCAGCCCCGCCCCCGCGGTCAGCCCCGCCCCCGCGGTCAGCCCCGCCCCCGCGGTCAGCCCCGCCTCCACCCAGACCGGCCGGGACTGGGCAGAGCCCCTTTGGTTCTAAAGTGAAACGAAACCGGATCGCATACCCGCGCCTCTTCCCGGGCGGGTCCCGTGGCCTTGAGGAGAAGTTCGGACCGGAAGACTTGGGGCGACCCGTCCGTGGGGACGAGGGGACCCGTGACCTGCGACCCGGGCCGCCATCACTCACCGTTGTCGCTCTGGTTGTAGTAGCCGAGCGCGGTCCGCAGGCTCTCTCGGGAAATCTGTGCGTTGTCCTTGGCGAGCCGTGTCTGCTCGTCCCAATACTCCGGCCCCTCCCGCTCCATCCACCGCGCCCGCGGCTCCATCCTCGGATTCGCGGCGTCGCTGTCGAACCGCACGAACTGCGTGTCGTCCACGTAGCCGACGGAGATGAAGCGGGGCTCCCCGCGGCCGGGCCGGGACACGGCGGTGTCGAAATACCTCAGGGAGTGGGAGCCTGCGGGCGGGGAGCGGCTGAGACCACCTACACCCCTCCCCGCGGGGCGCCCGGGTCCGGGGTCGATGGGGGCGGGGCGGGGAGGTGAGGGGCTTGTGGACGGAGAAGGGGCGGCGGGAGTAGCAGAGCCTGGACGTCGGGGTGGGACAGCAGGGGGCGGGGGCAGGGGGGCCAGGACGGGGGAAAGGGGGGGTATCGCGGCGGGGTTGGGGCTTTTCCGAGGATCGTGTGTCCCCGCCGGGCGGTCCCCTCGCTGCTCCCTCCCAGAGGCCGTTTCCCCCCATATCCCACACTCACCAGCCCGGGTCTGGGTCAGGGCCAGGGCCCCCGAGAGCAGCAAGAGGAGGGTCCCGGGTGCCATGACCCGAATACTGCGGTTCCTTGTCACCAGGAACCGCGGTGACGGTGATTGGCTTCTCCAGAAATCGGAGACCCAATTGGAGCGAGAACTGGGGCCGCGTCATGTGTGTACAGGCAGAAGGGGTTGACACAGGTTGCGAAACTCCGGGGAGACCGGGAATCCCCAACACTAGGCCACCCCACCCCTGACACCGCCATCGGACCTGAGTGCCACCGGGGGACTGGGACCTTGCCCTGACCCTGCTCCTCCAGCACCGAGCCTTCTCTGCTACACTGTCTCCTTGAGTCCTGGGCCAGGGCCTGCTTAAGTCAGAGGTTCTTGTTAGTTTCAGAATTTCTATGTCTTTGTTGTTGTTCTTGTGTGCCCTGGAGTGGATTCATAGCGACCCGAAATGACAGAGTAGAACTGCCCCATAGGGCTTCCTAGGCTATAACATCGAAAGGAGTAGATCACTAGGTCTTTTCTTCTGCAGAGCAGCTGGTGGATTCCAACCAGCAACCTCTGGCTTAGCAGACAAGAGCTTAACTATTGAGCCAGCAGGCTCCTTACAATTTCTATTACTCTTACAAATTAATGAGGAACCCAAAGAGATTTTGTCTATGTGGGTTATATCTGCTGATATTAACCATATGAGAAATTAAAAGAGAATTAAAATTTTAAATTAATTAAAAACAATATTAATAACCCATTCAACATTAACAGATACAGTATATTTTCATAAAAAATATTTTCCAAAATAAAATAATGTAGGGAGAAGAGTGGATCCTTTTACATTTTTGCACGTCTCTTTCTTATCTATGTCAATAGAAGGCTTCTGGATTTTCATATCTGCTTCTGCAATCTGTTATTTTAGATGAAGTGTATACAGAAAAATCCTGTGTCACACAAATATGAAGTTGGAAAAGGGAGGAGTATTTTTAGTGGCCTTTCCAAGTAATTGTGAATGTTCATCTTTGATACTTCACTAAAGCTACCGAAGTGGTAGTTTCTTAAAGGTTAGTTTCAATCGGAAACCCTATTATTGAATATTTTGTATTCTGTTCATTAAAACCCATACATCCATCTTGCATTATTGAATGAATCTTGTACTAATGTGTGATTTTCTTAAGTGATACATTAGTTCCTTGAGTACGTAGATCTTCCAGTGTTGACACATTTCATTACAAAATATGAAAAAGTCACATTTGTTAGTATTACCACGAATTCCAGCAGAAAAGTTTGTAAATTTCAGAGGGCTGTGGCGCTTGTGGTGGATACAAGTTTTCCAATGTTCTAATCTCTTGAGAGGTTACATTTTATCATTGACAACAATACTATCAGTTGGCTTCCTTTAAGTGACAGGCTAGCTAATTATTAATTTTCAATAAAGTGCCTAATATCCAAGACAGTTTCTCTGTCATTCCTTCTTCCAAGTGAAAATGCTATTCCATTAAAAAAAAGAAGAAGCTAGTTCAGATCACAAATTATTTTCCTTGAAACAAATATCCTTTGGAATGTCGGAGAGGTGCTTTATATATACTTCCCACTTCATCACATAGGATATTAAAAGATGTGGACGTGAGGATGATGATTTAATGAGGTTAATAACTTTTAATGCTTCCATTAGTACACCTTTAAGTGACATTGGTTTTGTTTTTGTTTTTTTCCTGCAAGTAGGTGAAGATGAAGAATACAATTACTACTGCAGTTTTATGACACAGCCTTGATTGTTGCTAAGTTCCCAGCTGATTTACCTCAGTGCAAGAATCAACACAGTGAAAAAGACTAAAAATTTCTTAGTACAGTAAGTCCCCGGGTTAAGAATGTCTGATTTATGGACAACTGGTACTTCAGAATGCACTGCCGCAAAGCCTATTTGCATTAAACACAAGAGTTCATAATAACGAATGCCTGCACTACTTTGTAACGTTTGTGTTTAAGATGTTTTAGTGTATTTAGAAGTGTTTCTTAAGTGTTTTATATGCATAGAAAGGTAAAATACATACTATATACTAAGACAAACATTTCACTAACTGACTTGATAAGAACCTGTGTACCTGCTCTGACTTACCTACAAAAACCCATTGAAAACCAGTTGCCGTTGAGTCGATTCTGACTCATAGTGACCCTATAGGACAGAGTAAAACTGTCCCATACAGTTTCCGAGGAGTGCCTGGCAGATTTGAACTGCTGACCTTTTGGTTAGCAGCCTTAGGTCTTAACCACTACAGCACCAGGGTTTCCACTTACCTACAAATTCGACTTAAAGACAGATTTAGGAAAGGATCTCATTCATAACCTGGGGATTGCCTGTAATGTTACGACAATAGGTTTGACTTCATGGATCTTGTGAAAGGATCTCAGTGACTCTAAGTTCCACAGACTACAGTTTGAGAACTGCTGTTCTGAGTAAACCAGGGAGTCCCTTAAATGGCCCCAGCCTCTTTGCCTCCTCTTTACTTCCCAGAATTCCTCTCCTTGAGCTGGGCTCTCTGCCCCCCAAAGCTTAGCTTAGGCCTCTTCTCATGGGCTCTTCTAGAAGAGAAATCATCCCCTGGAAATTTAATGCCAGAGAGTGTCCTCAGTCAGAAAACTGAGGTGGAGGGAATGATGTTTCCCTTTTGGGGCTGGGAACATTTGTGCCTGGAGGCACCAGATAGAGATTCACTCATGACCTGTTTTGGTTTTGTTACACACCAGCTTAATGTATATCCATATCCCAGACAGTTGGAACTCTAATGCAATCTGTGGGATAAATAATAAGGACCCCTCATTATAAATGGGTCTAAGGCAACTGACTTGAGGTCCATAAACCATCAAGAGCCGTACTGTCAATAGAACTTTCTGTGATGAATGAATTGTATATCTGTGCTGTCGAACACAGTAGCCACTAGCCATGTGTGGCTACTGAGCACTTGAAATGTGGCTAGTGCAACTGAGCAGTTGAACTTTTAATTTTATTGTATTAATTTAAATAGCCACACCTGGCTAGTAGCTACCATATTTGACAGAGTATTCTGAATTTTCAGTCTCTTCCCCAAAATAATACTGTGTGATTTATAGACTGGAGTATATTAAAATTATGTTTATTTAAAAGCTATAGATTTTTCTACATGGGTCTCAGACATATCCTTAAAATCCAGAGTGCCCATAAAAGTTTAATTAATAGGTATTGAATAACTAGAGTATATAAACATTAGCCAAAACATGACTTACCACCTGAAAGTCACAAGTGTTGTCAAGTGTCCATCCCTGGTGCCAATCCTTGTCTAAATATCACTGGGCTTCTTGATGTTTTTGTTTTCTTTAACCTGGTGAACACAAGGAGGCAAACAAGTCTTCACTTAGCCCAAGAGAATGTATTTATTCACTATCACAGATATCAAATACCCTATAGGCCCTGTAGACATATTTTGTAAATTACGAAACACGAACCTATAACCTTAGGATTCCACTAGGTTATAATTCTTTACCTATTGCTCTCTCCACTTCTCCCAAATTCAAACATTTTCTGTTTCCCTCACCTTCAGACCCTTTTCCTCATTCTTTCTACGTAGATGAAAATATACATGAAATATTTACAATTGTGGAGTGAAAAGGATTCTCTAAGCATGAAACAAAGTTGAAAAACAATAAAGAAAAATGAAAAACTTCTCAATGACAAACACAAACTCACAAATATAGAAGCCCATAATCAAACTTGACACATAAAACAATTTGCCAGACAAAATGGTAACATGTCAATGCCCTTCAGCCAAAGACCACCAGGAGCATACCTGTAGTTGAATAAGTTGTGTTTTTTACATGTTTCAGTGAGGGAGAATGCACACCATAGGGAACCATGAGGCTTCTTTACACAGGGGTGAGAAAGAACCTATTATAGGATTTGGCTTTACTTGGGTGATTTTACCCACTGCCATTGAGTTGATTGGGGAGGGTAGAAGGAATCAGGGTTTCCTCTAGATTGGGTACTGTCAGGAAGCTGGGGCAATTCCATGATAGGGTATCTCAATAAATCTTATCTCTAGGGAGGGCAGACTAGAGTGAGGATGAAGCTGTAATTGGTAACAATTGAAAATTATGAAGCTGTCTGGTTTTGTCTCAATTTAGAATTGTCTCAGAGTGAGCTTATCTGATGTTGGTGTCTTATGAGATGATTTTTGTCCAACAGAATAACATGGTCTAGCTATGAGCACCAGGCCAGCTTCTAACAACCTGAAGTGTAGGTGTGAGTGGCAGATGACTTCCTGGATGTCAGGGCTGCTTTCCCCCCAGCCCACCTTCTTAAGTTCAGTATTCTAACATTTAACAGTCCCAATTAGAAAATGATTGAAGATTACCAGAAAGCAGTTTTGAAAAGAAGAAATACAATACAAATGTCAAACAAAAATATCAGTAATATGGCCCCCGGACATCCTTTTAGCTCAGTGGTGAAGTCACTCCTGAGGTTCACCATTCAGCCGGGGATTGGACAGCCCCATAAAACAAAACAGGACTTATGAGGCAGAGCAGTCCAGGGACAAGGACTAGAAGGCAAGTGGGGACAGGAAAGCTGGTGGTAGGGAACTCAAGGTTGAGAAGGGACAGTGTTGACATGTCGTGGGGTTGTTAACCCATGTCATAAAACAGTATGTATACTGACTGTTTAATGAGAAACTGTTTGTTCTGTAAAACTTCATCTAAAGTACAATAAAAAAAAAATTTGTTTAAATATCAGTAATAAATGTGAGCAAAAATAAAAATGTGGAATAAGAAATGAGAATAAAAATTTAGCTTGGCAAAGATAAAAATAAACAATAAAAGTATTGGCTAGAGTGTAACTAAGATATACTGTCATAGAGGTGGATGGGATGAAAAACTGGTACAAAATTTCTAAAGGACATATTTGCAAAATGTCTCAACAATTTAAATGTGCTTACATACTGACACAAAAATTTCTCTTTTAGGGACTTATCCTAAGAAGATAACCGCACATTATTATGGAGTGAATTGTGTCCCCCTACAAAATGTGTTGTTAATCCTGATCCCTATATCTGTGGTTATAATCCCATTTGGGAAAGGGTTTTCTTTGTCGTGCTAATAAGATAGGATTAGTGTAGGGTGTGTCTTAAATCAATCTCTTTTGAGA